TTTTAGGTCAGTTATAAGGTTCAATTAGTCCACTAAATTGCCATGAACTTGTTATTTTTTAATTCAAGTGTAAAGGACTTTCTTTAGCGCATGGAAACTTTGAATCTGCAACTTGCTCTAGAAGCACCTGAGAAAGTATTCTGATTTTCACTTTAAACTAAAAACTTTTTTACTAGTGTGTAGAGGTGAATAGATTGTTCAAATACAGTAGATATTAAAAAATCTCTTACTTTTTTTCTTTATCGCACTATTTTCTGATGATATCAACTTTTTTCCAGGATAAGTATGTACCGGGATGTTGCTCTGATCATTCGATTACTTTTGGTCAGATGAGCTACAAAGACATTAGACTGACTGATTTCGGTTCATTGCACTGGAATATATTTGGCCGAGCAGGTACTATATAGTTATCTCCGATCAGCAATTTCTTGCATTATAATCAAGCATAATGATGTAAATATTCATATTTAGGTTTCGAAGAAGTCAACGCTAGTTATGCTATTGATCCAATTGTATTCCTACCGAAACCTATCGAGAAACCGAAAGTTACCACTGCTAAGATTCCTGCAAAAGAAAATCCCAAGAAAACAGTTGATAAAGCTGAGCAGCAACAAAAATCTGTTGATGGAGATAAGAAAGTGCCACTACCCCCGAAGCTACGGTAATCGTGGGACATAGCGGAAATTCTTGTTATTATTAATAAACGGGATTGTGGAATTACAAAACTACTAATGGTACAATTTTGATTATTTTGGGTTATTGTTGTGATTACTGTTTATGTATGACATTGATAAACATTGAGACTTATTGCGCAATTTGCGCTTCTTTGTTAGGTTTTTTTTCAATTTGTAAAGAAGCTAACAATGCATTTGAAAACAGAAAATCTTCTAACCTCTCTTTTTTTCAGAACAAGGATCATTAGTTCTTTACAGTAAAGTATATATCATTCTTCGATAGTAATTCCATTCTCTTCCGAGAATACTTCTGGTTTCAGAATAAATTCGTCTGATTTTTAAAGCTCTAAACCCAAAAATCACAAGCTTTGTAATGTGTACAGGTTGTCCGGAAAAAAATTTGTCTACTGATTGGTGTTGAATAGAATTTTATATTCGAATCTTTTCTAGACCTTAATAATTTCAAAGAGCTATTTTAGACTTAGATTTGCATACGAAGACGGATCGTGTGCCTTTCCGTTATGCTAAGATCATAGTAAAAATTTGTGAGTACCTATAGCGCTCGCGGAGAGGACTATTGGCATTGATCCAAAGATAGCTTTGAAATGCCAGAAATAAGTTATGCAGTACTCTGAGTTCAAATACATATGAGAACCAGTTGATGCAACAATGCTTTTAATGAAATTATAGCAAGTGATGCTCGCGTGAGTAATCGAAAAAACTTCCCCAAGTTCAATGTAATAACTTACAAGGGGAGGATACTTATAAGGGAATGCTTTTTACTCGAAGTGGCCATTCAAAACAAGATATATGGCATCATAACAAGTTGGGTATAGGAAACTCAAATCTGTCTCCCATATCTGCAAAACGGTTTTCTGGAAAAAGATATAAGCACTTGTTTCCATGAGGCCATCTACAATA